TAGTTGAAAATGAAAGTTTAAGTTTATAGTATACAAAAGCAATAATGATGGAGAAGATCAATGTTTTATCTCCTATGCAGCTTTACACATTTTTAAGACTTTTCCATCCACACAAATCTACTTCAAGTAGCATCTCCTTTGAGGCCCCATTTGCCCTTGTAAACTTCCACAGACCATTGTATACTCACCTCCCCTGGACAGCCGTCCCGAGGCTGGGCTAGGCTCTACTGTGTGCTCCCACAGACTCCTGTTTTAGATGATACTTATCGTACTCACAGGCCTTTGTCTCCTTCACTAGATTAGACACTTCTTAATCCCAGATACATATCATGCTGTGCCATCTTCCATACTAGCATGACCAATAGTCTACTGTAAGTGATTAATATGTATCTGGGTGAAAACTATTGATTATCCATAGGAATATATTTTTTGTGAATCAAGTTTCAGGCTACTTTTGAAGTTAGAATGTTTAGGTGTTTGAGCAGCTTTAGGCAAGTCTAGTCTTCCTGTGATTAGATGTCTTACTTATAAAATGATGATAAGAACTGTAGCTACAGCCGGGCGGTGGTGGTGCACACCTTTAATCTCAGCACTTGGGAGGCAGAAGCAGGCGGATCTCTGTGAGTTTGAGGCCAGCCTGGGCTACCAAGTGAGTTCCAGGAAAGGCCAAAGCTACACAGAGAAACCCTGTCTTGAAAAACCAAAAAAAGAAAGAAAGAAAGAAAGAAAGAAAGAAAGAAAGAAAGAAAGAAAGAAAGAAAGAAAGAAAGAAAGAAAGAAGAAGCTACCCTCATAGGGTTGTTTCAAAGACAAAAATAAGAAGCGCACATCATCGATAACTAGAATTTTGGAAATGGGACTCAAGAGCTCTCAACAATTAGCTGGGTGTCTTTGTATTGTCACCACTGTTGTACGGTTATTGCTATTGTTCTGCAAGATGGATTCCTTTTAGGTTAGACACCTGTCTTGAGCCAGGGTTTAAAGTAAATTTCATAAAATGATGTGCTAAAGGCCTAAGGAAACTTAAAAGACAGAGAGGTCAGCAAGAAGGAAAAATGTGGGTCTCCTGATCCTCCACTGCCCCAAAGACAGCTCTGTGAGGACTGACACTCTGCTGGACACAAAAAGGTAAACTTCCTCTACAGCAATACCACCCTCTTACCACCCTCTCTTCTCTTAGAAAAAAAGCATCAACACTGAGGGAGTTCACTGCCTGATAGATGCCAAGTGGTCTGGATGTTTGGTGTGAACAATTTCCATGAGTTGTCTGGAAAAGCCTGAGGGAAATATAAATCTCTTGGGGGAGGGGGGGAGGAAGATCTTAGCCAAATAAGTGTAATAAAGTTCTTTCTTAAGGAAGAGTAAGTCCCCTGTCATCTGAATGGTCTAAGCAAACAATAAGATTTTGGGTAGCGTTGTTTAATGACATTTTTTTTTAATTACTACTATGTTCTTCAGGACTTCAAATGCTATCATGCTTTTCCCTGGGTCTATTTGAAGTAGCTAGATATTCCGAATTTTACAGAAATGTGTTCCTCTATCAAGACTTATCAAAAATTATTAATTTCTGTTTAAATCATTAGCACTTACTAATAAGTCAGACACTATTCTTTTTTTTTTCTTTATTTTATTTTACATACCAACCACAGTTTCCTCTTCCTCCTCTCCTCCTGTTCCCTCCCCCCACCTCTTTTCCACACTCCCATCCACTCCTCCTCCCTTTCTATTCAGATGGGGTAAGGTCTCCCTTGGGAATCCACAAAGCACTGCATATCAAGTTGTGGCAGGACCAAGCTCCTCTCCCCTGGCATCAAGGCCGAACAAGGCATCCCACCATAGGGAATGGGTTCCAAAGAGCCAGCTCATGCATCAGGGACAGGTCCTGGTCCCACTGCTAGACACCCCACAAAAGACCAAGCTACACAACTGTCACCCAGATGCAGAAGGCCTAGGTCAGTCCAGGACTCATTTAGGTGCATGAAATTGCTTTTTGGAACACATTCTCTAGGGTGAGAATCCTTGCTCAGCCTTGACATGGGGGTCGGGGGAGGCCTTACCCTCTCTGAGGAGTGGATGGGGAATGGAATTTGGAGGGAGTGGAAGGAAGGGAGGGAGGGAGAACTGGGATTGGTATATCAAATTAAAAAAAAAAAACTTTTTTAAATAAATAAATTTTTAAATAACAGAAAAAAGTAATAGATGCAATAGTAGAGATTGCATAAGACTCAGAAATGTTCAGAAATGATGACTCAGTTAAACATTACAGTTTATAGACTACAAAATAATTTTTTAATTTACTGAGCCCAAATTAAAAACACTGAAGTCAAATTAACATGTATAATGACAAAGAGTAACATGGTAAGCAGTATTCATGTTTTCTTCATGGTATAAAATTTGAGAGGAAAACATTCTATCATGAAAATTAAAATCACTATCTAAGGAATAGCAGAGAAGACATCTGAAAGTCACAAGGAATTAAATATAGGTCCTAATTCTGCTACAGAGTAATGATGTGAATCTAAGCAAGTCTCCCTACCTCTCCTTTTATGATGTAAGGAATCGTGATGATGGTAACCACCATACTGCGTAATTTTAAGCAATAAACAAAAAAAAGTATAATGACCAAGCACATAGAAAAGTATTCAATAAAAGCAACCTTTTTCTCCTAACCTCAACTTGTCACTGTTTTATTCTATGCACATATAATCACATAACTGTGGCAAATTTACTCTCACGTTCCCAGGGCACAACTCCAAAATTGTTCTCTAAAGTCATTCTGTCCTATTTTTTATAATTACTTCCAGAAGCTATTCACAGTAGTTTTGATTGATTTCAAGCATTTTTATCCATTTGTGTTTTACTAAAACATGTAAGAAAATGACTTAATCTCAAGCCTACTTGGAAAAAAAGAAGTAGTTTGGAAAAAAAGAGAAAAGAAAAAGATGAGAAAAAAATCATATTCAATAATGTAACATAAAATGGAGAGTAAAACATTAATATCCATGAGGATTAAAGAATTCTAGAACTGGGAGAAAGATCCATGAGTAAAGTGCCTGATGCTCAAGCATATGGACCCGAATTGGGATCCCCAGCACTCATCTATGAAGCTGAGTGTGCCAGCACATACCCATAATCCCAGCTCTGGGATGGAAGAGAAACCTGGGTCCCAGGGGCTCAGGGTCCAAAACAGAAAGTTCCAGGTTCAGTGAGAGATCCCACCTCAAAATCATAAGGTGAGCATTGATAGAAGAAGATAGCTGAAGTCATCTCTGGCGTCCTCACACCCATACACAGGAGATTACATACACACACACACACACACACACACACACACACACACACACACAAGTACTGTGGTCACAAAAATGTTGAGGTACTCACAAGAAATTCTATAATACTGAAAAAGTTGAAACTTGGCGATTAAGAGGATTCTGAGGATTCTGAAGAATATTAACATTTCCTTTGTACAAATTGCACCTGACATCAATTCAGACTATTTGAGAGTCGTGTCAAATGTGTCAGTTTAAGAAGAAATTAAAATGAGATGTCAGTATTCAAAAAAAAATACACATAGAATATATGTAGATGGTCATGCAACAGATATCTTAATGTAACGATATTAACATTAAGTTTTATATTTTGTTTTTTTTGTTGTTGTTGTTGTTGTTTTTTGTTTTGGTTCGGTTTGGTTTGGTTTGGTTTTTCGAGACAGGGTTTCTCTGTGTAGCTTTGCGCCTTTCCTGGGACTCACTTGGTAGCCCAGGCTGGCCTCGAACTCACAGAGATCCGCCTGGCTCTGCCTCCCGAGTGCTGGGATTAAAGGCGTGCGCCACCACCGCCCGGCAAGTTTTATATTTTGATTGTTGGTGGGGAGATAAATTTGATTGATGTCTGTTATAAATACATTTGATACTCAGTTTTCTTGCTTTTAAATTTGTACAAGAAAAGAAAAATACTCCCCAATAGATGGTGCAAGAGCAAAGGTTCAAATGACTGCCTTTGATCTGTTCTTCAAAAGCTAATCTGTATAAATTCAGAATCGGTTTTATTCCATCGCCAGGAAATTCCTCACAGGAGGGGCTGGCAGGTAATACATTAAGCAAGGAAATGGCCTACGTGGCCTTTAAGTGGATTCTAACCACCAGGCTGTCATGTCCTGGTCATTCTTAACTCTTACGCAGATTCCTTTCTCTAGACCTGGACAGGAAGTGAGAGTTTAAAATAAATTAAGTGAATTAAAATTAACCCAGATCAAAATTTCAATCCCTCAGTCCTGCTAACTGCACAGTGACCGCACACAACTGGTCACCACCATGTCCTACAGAGAGAGCCCCTCCCTCACCAGAGAACCGCCTGTTGGGTACTCAGACTGAATGCCCCTATGTTCATAGGACTTGGTGCTTGCCATTGTTAGCTTTTCATATTTTGAACTCCCTTAGGGCTCATGGGAAAACAACTTCATTGCCAGGTCAGTGTCAGACTAAAGGAAAATCTGAAGTCAATGAGGAGAACCGAAATAAACAACAGAGAGAGAATAATGGGTTTTAAAAATGTACTGGTTATTGTAAGGAGGATGAAACAATCCTGTTTGTCACGTACAGTTTGCACTGAATGTATCCATATCATGTCGCATTTCTGATGTTGGCATCGGGGTTTCAGATAGTCCAGCAAAGCAACATAGAAGCTGTGCTCTTGAGACTGTGATGAAACTTAACTACATGGAATCCAGTAGTGCGTGTGTACAGCACATTTTCTTTGCAAAAGGGGCAGCAGATGCTACTGAGTTACCAGCATTCCCTGTTTAGAACTTAGATATTTACCCTTGCTCAGGCCATGCTTGTCCTCTTGAGTCGTTTTTTATGCTTATTAGTATTTTGGTTTTTACTGCTTGCATGTAAAGATGCTATTGTTTTTTTGTTTTTGTTTTTTTAAGATGCTATTGTTTAGCATACATCTTGTAACCAAAAGTAAGAGCGTGATCTGCATGTGTTTGCATTTAGGTAATTTTGTCCATTGAAGAAGGTTACAGACTTCCTGCTCCGATGGGCTGCCCACCATCCCTGCACCAGCTGATGCTCCATTGCTGGCAGAAAGAAAGAAACCACAGGCCAAAATTTACCGACATCGTCAGCTTCCTTGACAAACTGATCCGCAATCCCAGTGCCCTTCACACACTGGTGGAGGACATCCTTGTGTAAGATGCATAATGTTGGTATTGTTTTCCCCTGACAATCATAATCTCTTTCAGGCTACAGGCAAGAACAACAGGTAGAGGGAATGAGTTTTCCTTGGTCACTCACTGTCTAATTACCAACCCTGTATAAACCTTATTTTATTTATCAGCTGAACAGATAAATGATGAATATGAAAAAATGTGGGGATTTTTCACAAGAAAAAAAATTTCCCCTTCTTTTCTCTCTGTTATCCATTCTATCTGCATTACTTTATTTACATTTCTCTTTTGTGGATCTTTGATATCTACATTTACTGATCCTTCTTTACCTTTATAAGTAGAATTTGTGTGCATGTGTGTGTCCCCTCTAATTTTCTTTCCATTCTATGTCCATCCCTCTATTTGAAATGGCAAGCAGGGGAAATTTGTGAGTCACCAGAAGTGAGGATGCTCCTGATCACACCTCACTGTTGTTACTTTCCTCTCTCCAAACCAGAATAGGGTGGGTCAAGGCACTCATACACCATTTTGTAACCTTCAGTAGAACCAAGAAAATCTACTCACTTCTCTCTGAAGAACAATGATAAGGAGAAGAAGAATGGAAGCAAAAATAATCCTCATCTCTGTCTAAAATATTACACTTCAAATATCATCAGAGTCTGCTTTTAGCCTAGATTATAAATAGCCAAAGCACACCTTCCTGAATCACAAGATGACCACAGGATATGCAGACATTCACTGTGGGTCACAGGTCCCAGTAAGTTTAGGGTTTTAGTAACAATAATACTAGGCTCTTTAAGGGATATTTGCAACAGACCTCTTTTCCCAGCCGATCATGTAAGAGTTCACCTCTAAATCACTAATTGGCAGCCTCAGCAAAATGAAGCCAAGCATGAAATAGCTAGTGATCCAACTATTGCTGCAGACTGCCTCCTCTGAGCAGTCCAACATCGGAAGCTGTGAGCAAAAGGCATAGAAAAGAAAAGCTCTTTGGGTTTTATTACTAAGGCCAGGGACAGCCACTGAAGGATGTTTAAGCAAGAGAATAATGTGATTACAGTTGCGCTTCTGGACTCGAAACCACTCGAGTGTTGATTTAGGCTATGAATGCAAAGCACGGAACAAGATGGGAAACAGAGCCACATGTGTCTTTTCAGAAATCCACGCTATAAAAGTTCAAGGCCTAAGATGTTCCCAGCTAAGACTCCTAGCAATGGTGGAGAGGGTGCCTGAACTAGCCTTCCCCTGTACTCAGATTGGTGACTACCCTAATTGTCATCATAGAACCTATATCCAGTGACTGATGGAAGCAGATGCAGAGACCTACAGCCAAGCACTGGGTGGAACTACTAGAGTTCAGTTAAAGAGAATTAGGAGGGATTATAGGAGCAAAGTGGGTCAAGATCATGATGGGAAAAACCACAGAGACAGCTGACTCAAGCTAATAGGAGCTCACGGACTCTGAAATGACTGACAGCTGGAGAACCTGCATGGGACTGAACTAGACCTTCTGAATGTGGGTGACAGTTGTATGGCTTGATCTGTTTGTGGGGACCCTAGCAATGGGACCAGAACCTATCCCAGGCACATGAACTGACATTTTTAGGGCCCATTCCTTATGGTGGGATGCCTTACTCAGCCTTGATGAAGGGAAAGGGTCTTAGTCTTGCCCCAACTTCGTATGTCAGCCAGTGTTGACTACCCAAGGGAAGCCTTACCCTCTGTGAAGAGTGAAGGCAGGGTGAGATGGGGGGCGAGATGGGAGAAGGGAAAGGAGGGGGACCAGTGGTTGCTATGTAAAATAATTAATAATAACAACAACAATAATAATAAGAGTTAAGAAAAAAGTTCAAGGCCTAAATTATAAAATGAGAATAAAGTTGAGATCAGGAGAAAAGAGAATGAATTTATTGTCTGGCAACATACACAAACAATATTTATGTGTCATGGTCACTGAATAAACATAGAAAGAAGAAGTGGATATTTCTCATTTTTTTTTTTGTACAAACAGTGGGTGTTATACATGCTAAGAGAAGAACAGGAACAAGTTCTAGAGAATAAATGAGATGATTTGGGGCATTCTGAGTCAGAGATGCCTGTGGGATAGTCAAGTGGAAACTCCATAGGTACATAACTTCTAGATTGAATTTGAGGTAAAATATCTAGGCTATGGAGCTAGAGAGATAGCTGAGCAGTTAAGAGTGTGTACTATTCTTGAGTCAGTTTCTGACTGACTACACAGGGCTGCTCAAAACTCCCTGTAGCTTGAGATCCAGGATAAACGACCCCCTTCTGTCTTCCATGGGTTCCTACACTCATGTATACATACCCACATGTAGACACTTGTCATAACATAATTACTTTTTGTTCCAAAGATATAGCTAAAGGTGTACATTTGAAATTGACCAGCACATAGATTATTACTGAAGGCATTAACATACTGAGATAACCTATGAAGAAAATAAAGAATGCAAATAAACAGAGAAAAAGAATGCAAGTATCTAAAGCACCAAGATTCAAGACATGATTCCCCCCACAACAAAAATAAATAAATAAATAAATAAATAAATAAATAAATAAATAAATAAATAAATAACCAAAGGAGATTGAGAAAGAAGAGCCGGACTAGTAATGCAGGAACCATGGATGGAGCTATATCATAAAAGCCAAAAGAGAAGGCTGTGTCAAAGAGCCTGTGTCAAAGAAATGTAACACACAAGTCTTCACAAAGATTCAGAAAACACCAAGTGGAGTATTAACTGGATTTAGCAGTGGGATGCACAAGTTCACAAGCAGCCTCAAAAGGACAAATTTTTATAAAATTTATGAGACAATAAAGAGGGGATACAAAGTCAAAATAAATATCAATGCATAATAATAACTTTTATTTCCATAAACCTATAGGCAAGATAAATAGAGAAAATGTTTCTTGATTTTGTTTTCATATTTTCTTGAAAATACAGTGTTCATGCTTTACTATTGAGAGAACATCATAATGGAAACATACTACAAAATAAGTCTACATTCATGGAAGAGGAAATCACATCATACCTCTAAAGCCAAATCATTTCCTCTGGGCTTCCTGTAACACAGGGTTAACAACTTAATGGTGGCTATAGCAAAGCTATCTAACTGTGAAAATGGCTATAGTCATCATTTTTAATTGATTGCATTTTGAGACTGTGAATAATCTTCTTATTTACAAAATAAGAAGAATCTCAAATCAGAAAATGACCCCAAAAAATGGAAAAAGAATACATAGATCAAGGCAGATGCAGGGTCCTGATTGATATCCAGAGTTCCATGATGAAGTGACTGCCATGCTCTATGAGCCCGGCCACACACAGACCAGAAGTTGCATCCTTCATCTAAGTTGCCAGCTTGGTTCAATTCCAAAACCAAATCTCTCTGAAGCAAATGGAAATTTTTGTGAGTGATTTTTCTGTTCTTGTTCATGACAGAGGCATATGAACTTTTTGTTTTAATATATTTGTGTTTGAAAAACAAAATGAACCAGAGTTCCCAGGGTATCATGCCTGAAACTAATCTTTATTCTTATTATCATGAGGGGCAGGATTGGATTTCCTTGTCTTCCCACTCAAGCCGTAGTCCCATCCACACACTCTGTTTCTAGTCCCCGAGAATTGAGACACTTTAGTGTGATGAGATGGCCTGGTTGGTTTTGTGTTTACAAAATGATGACAAGCACCTCCACATGAGAAGTCCCTCCATCCCCCAAGTTCCAAGAACACACGCCTGTCCCAGATTAATGTTGAATTAAGGAAACATGACCATCAATCTTTGTGACTGAATGCCTCTCAAACATGCCAGCTAGGGAGATGGCTTCGTGCATAAGAGTGCTTGCTCTGCAAACATGGGCCTTAATATGAGTTTGAATTGACACCACCCACATTACAAAAAACAGCTGAGCATGATTGTGTGTGCCTATATCTTCAGTATCAGAGATAGAGATAGTAGAAACTCAAGAGCTTGCTGGCCAGCCAGCCAGCCAAACCAAAATAGCAAGCTTCCAATTCAGTGAGAAATCCTGTCTTAAGGCTGCAGGGCAGAAAATAAAAGATTTGATGTCCTTCTCTAGCTTCTGCATAACCACATGCATGCAATACACACACACACACACACACACACACACACACACACACACACACACACACGCTGAAGAGCCTGAGTGGATAATGAGCAGCCACTCATCATTAGACTCTCCTTTACTCCAGTATCCCCAAACTCCAGGTTTTTCTCATTTCTACACCAACACAGGCATTGTTCTTTCATCAACACTTTCATGGCTTTTATTCCACCCTAATTGCCTTTGTCTCAAGAATTCACCTGAGCCAGGGCAGTGGTGCATGCCTTTAATTCCAGCACTTGGGAGGTAGAGGCAGTCAGATCTCTGTGAGTTCAAGGCCAGCCTGGGCTACAGAGTGAGTGCCAGGAAAGGCACAAAGGTACACAGAGAAACCCTGTCTCAAAAAAACAAAAACAAAAACAAAAAAACCGACAACAACAAAAAAGAATTCACCTGAGAAACTTTTAATCTCTGTTGACAAGATAATAAGTGGGGAGAAAAGATGATCAAAGAGAATGTAGAAGGCTATGAACCCCAGAATTTAATAGTTTTCTGCTAGCAAATTAGCAATTTCATAAATCACATTGGTAGCCTTTCCTTGCAAACACCTGAGTATCTATGGGAAAGATGTTGATCTATGGCTTTCAGGACTGGGAAGAGCAGTGCTCACTCTTATCTTCTAACATTTCTACTGACATTCCTCTGCCCGATACTTCTCCAGGGGCATATTTTCATTTCTGTAGAGCTCCCTGTAGATGTAACCAATCGTATTATTAAAATAAGAAACACAGAGCCAGTGTAAAAGAGAAAGCCGAGAGGTCAGAGCTCAGAGATAAAATCTT